CTTCCTACCAATATAATTTCCATACAAAAATAGAGCATGTCAACAGTGCTCTCAGCTTTTTGCTACTTCTAGAGGTTTTGATAACAATAATGGACTTCATTTGGGCACCGCAGTTGCACCATAGCTGAATTTGGGTCCTGATCTCTTAATGTGCAAACTGTTGTTTGAATCCTGTAATTCCGTGTTGAATTGCTATTTAGATCCAGAAATTGCATCATTCTCATACGTACAAACAGTGAGTCTCTAGGGTTTCTGACTACTCTTCCCTTCACCCACAGTGCTGTAATAATGATATATTTAAATGAGCTGTCTGCAAAGTACAGGTTCTTAAAACAAATTAACAATGTTGTTTAGAGGCAGCGGTAAGGTAGGAAGGCAAGAAAAATATTTAGGGAATGGTCTGCAAAATGTACCGTGGGAGGGAATGGCGTTGTAAGACCTGCTGCTACCTGGATCTGGAAAAGCTCTTCTCTTTCCTTCTGCACACTTGCTCCAGGTTACTCTGAGGACTGAGCGAAGACCCAGGCAAGAAGGGAAGTAGGATGCTGCTATTCATTCTCACTATGGGATTTTTATTCCACTGCTTCAGGAAAAATACCATCAAGGCAAGTTAACAGAGGCCTGAATGAATCTGAGAGGCAAGGGCAAGAAAGAAGGCAAGAGGAAAAAAAAATATGCACCTTGTAGTGGCCCAGTACACCTTTCTGCCCTGCTGATTTGTCAGCGTTTCTGGCTGAAGAAGGGGGAGCAGCCCCAGATAGTCCATGAAAGGTGTAGTGACTTCAATCTGCAGTACAGCAAAGCCTGATTACAGGGAGTGCACTGTGTGTGCAGTTCTGCTTAATAACCACCCACTCCCCGACACAAGTGATTTTGTGTGTAGCTCTCTAAGTGACTGTTTATCCAGAGGACAGGTAAGGGGCTTCTAGGAAATTGTCCTTTACTGGTGATTTGCACTCTGAGCACGAGCACAGTGTAGCGCGCTCGCTTGGTATCGTTGAAGTAGCTGCTGTTTGTGGCTATTTGTAAATATGTATGTAAGGTTTGCTTAATTTCAGGGTAATTGCTTCACAAACCATTCTGTAGTGTATTTATTATGCCAAGCTATCATTAGATTCTTCTGGGAATTTATATTGAAAAAGATTGGGCATTTCCAGGGAGCACAGGTTTTTATTAAATGGAAAAGGAATTGAAATAAGAAGCCCAATTAGCTGAACAAGTATGATCTCTGAAGCTACCATATTCAGGGAATCCCTCTTTTAGCAAGATGCAAATCCATCTCCTGTGCTTTTAATAAAGTCTTAAATATGGAATTCAGTATTAGGACAGGCGAGAAGGTGCTTACTGATTAGTCCTCCTGCGAGTAGACTACTTCCAATACAGTATTGCCATGGTGTCCCCATTATTTTTCCTGTTAACTGTTATGCTCTTTGTTCCGATTTTTTTATTAAGCTGAGGGCTATACATGTCTTATGTTCATCTCAAGGGAGTTTTAGATTTGAAATCATTATAATTCATAGTTACTTGGATATTTAAGACACACTTTGACGTTTACACAATCAAAGCTGTACTTGATGGTCTGTGGTAGTGAGTCTAATACAAAGTTCTGACCTGTGTGTGTGCGACTCGCTCCATGTGTATCTGTGGAACAACACTGATTTCAGTAGCATAACTTGGATTTAAAACCTGGGAAAAAAATTGTCCCGTGGCATCCAGGGCAGGGCATCACTTTTAGATATCCCCTAATATTAATCAGCAGTAACATCATCTACCTCCAAAATCATGACTGTTCCATATTTCTTAATACCACTGCATTTCTGAATATATATAAGGAGGCTTTTGTGCAGAACTGAAATCCATGCATGATACATGTTTTCTTAGGGTGAAAATTATTGAAGTTTTCTTTAAATACATTTAAAAACATTAAAAAGATGGTCTTGCCCATTGTCAAATTAATGCATTCTTTATACAGTGTATTTTATACTTCACTGGTTTGTAATAAATTAGCAGAATTTAAAGTTCACATGAATGCGCCTGAGGCCATAAGCATTCCATTAAATATCATTCAATTGGTATAATTTGATTTAACATTCTGTACTAACTGAATAGTGTTGGAATGTAATAAAATAGTAACTTCAGTATTAACTTTTTTTACCTTATCTGATGTGTAGACAGAAGTTGTCCTTGCTATGGCAAAGTCCTGAGCACTGCTTTTGTTTACCAGTAAGCAGCTGTTCCCAGAAGTGTTTTGTGTAAGACTGTGTGCCCACCTGTATGGCATGTAGATGGAGGAATAACTGTGAGAGTTGTGCATTTCTTACTTCAGAAAGTAACCTGTCGATAATTTCCCCTTTGGTCTATTTGTGGCATATTATGTAGTCTCAGTATGGAGGTTTTCTCTGTATTAGCCAGATCAAGAACTGGCACGGCTTGGGCAATGCTGTTATGGGAGTAAGAAACTGGTTCAAAGTCTCAAAGGGCTAGAGGCGATTCCCTGTAAAGTCAGTAGATGGTTTCCTATTGACTGTACCGAGAATTAGAGCATGTCCCGTGAGACTTATCTGAGAAGCTGCTTGCAAAGTAGGTATTTTGCTTCCCAGTTTATCAATCAAAATGTATCTGTCTTTTTATTTCTGCTGCTGTTATAACTGTGTCGCTTTGTAAGGTGCTCACAGGGAAACTTGAAAACTGTTTCACCTAGGAATTAGCACTACAATTCACTGGTGCTTGTAGTATGCACCATTTACAAGGAGTAGGAGGGCATTGTCTGTATAACACATCTTAAGTACTGCAGTGCTCCTACTGTTTTTACATTTCTCTAGAGAACCGAGCTGTTAACGGATATCTAAAAGACACACACAACCGTAATTTGGGAAAGCATGGAGAGGTTTCAGTGTGACTAACGCAAAAGCATTCTGTTGTCCTAGGGTGTAACATGGGAAGGTGATTAGCTACAAATATTGTAGGTAAATAAGAGACTTTTTCAGCTGCGCTCCTTATATTAAGGATGCAAAGTAAAGGAAGAGTTTTAAAGACTTCTACAGCTTTCTGCCATCACGGGCATCTTTACCAGGTACATTTTTAGCCTCTTTGTAACTCCTGTCACCAGAACACACAAACAAGACTCAAGTTACATGCCCAGAAGATGAGCAAGGCATTGGCAATTGCTTGTGTTGCCCTTTCCTGTGGGGTGACTTGTAGCTGAGTAGCACAGGCACCTGTGGATACTGCCTGTTCCTTCTCACGTCTACGTGAACACTCAGTGTTGTATGAAATGCACAGTTAAACAAGTGTGAGGTAGACCATAGTCTTTCACTTGGGTCACCAAATCACAGTTCTGTTGTAAATGCAACCTTGGAAAATAGTAAACAATATACTTTTGCTTTTATAACAAGATTTGGGCTAAAAAAGACCTAAACTTCATGGAAGCAGTTCTTACTAAGATGTGCTTTTCAAAGGAGATGTAACAGAACTCAAAGTTTCTTCAAAACATTTATGAATGAAAGTGAATGTATTTAGACATCCGACTGCATAGTGCTTTTGTCAGAAGTGGTAATGTAGGAAGGGTTTGGGGTTTGTGTATCTCTGTCAACGTAAAGTGCTGCTGTTAAAATAACAGTAGGCCAGTTTTGAAAATGGGAGACATTCAGGATTAGACTTGTGCACCTGGCCAGGGACTGCAGGAGCCACGTCCCAAGGACAGGTAATACTAAGCACCTAGAAAACATGAGTCTCTGGTAACTGTAATGCAAAGAGTAATAGACATCTTAAAATTTAATTAATCTACAGGCCACTCTCCTTATTAAAAAATAATTTTAGTTAAGGAAAAGAGCACATTGAACATTGTCAGTCCAGTAGAAAGTTGTCATTGATCTTGCTTTTAAAATCTTGCTTTAAGTGAGTTTGCGTCATTTAGTCACGGAAAATACTGCTGTTAGTTATAAACAGATCACTTGGCAAGGTGAGCATAGCACTGAAATTCTGTTCTCAACAGAATGGAAAAACTTATATAAAAAAAAGACTTGATAAGATAAGGTAAAAATAGACTGGCACGCTACCACCATCTCTAAAGGACTGGATTCACATCTACAGTAGTTTACAGCAATGTGGTCAGAAACATGCACACTCCTTTAAAAAAAAAAAAAGGGGGCACTAGACCTTTTAGAAAAAGGTAAGTCCTAGCCCAAGAATTCTAGGAATGAAATAGCAGAGGTGCAAAAATGGAGGTATACAGTTATGGACACCTTCCTGAACTCTTAATTCTCAGCCCAGGCAAACACTAAGATTCATCCCAGTTGCGCTCAGTAGCTAATGAAGGTGAAACCAGGTTTTGCTGCTCACGCTGCTCGCTTTGCTTTGCTTTAGGGGTGATCACGTTTTGCCACATGTGGATTTGTTGTAATAGATGGTTTGCAATTCTGACTTTTATTTATGAAACTTTTTTTTTATCCTTTACCTTTATTCTGACTTGTTGCTTCTGCTAGCAGCATGTTACTCCTCTTTCACTTCACTTGGATAGCATGCTGCACTGTAGAACTAGTATTAGGCAATGTGTGTTTTATGCTTTGATATACCTCTGGTAATGTAAAGCTGGTCTAGAAGAACTGTAGCAAGTATCAGAAAGCACAAGTAGATCTGTAACAAGGGAATACAGTTTAAAGTGCAGCTCAGTTTTTATCAAAGCTGTAAGCCCTAATGAATTCATGGGAATTTGGACATGCAGATATCATCGGTAAATACTGAAATAAGTCAACTGAACTATAGTGTATTTCTAGGGATTTTGTTGCTTTGTTTTTCTTTCCTATGTATGGAACTAGATCTAGCCACAAGTAACTTATGGCTTGAAGAATGCCTTAGTTTTCTGGAACTAAGCGTGTCCATGTGATGTAAAAAAGCCAGCAATACTGAAGTGTGGTTTATGTAATTTCCTGGTTCACATGGTTGGTGTGCATCATTTTATTTGTGTTTTTTTGTTGTTGTTTTTTTTTTTTTAAATTCAGGTATCCTTTTCTGCCCTGTGTGCAAACAGACCTGCTTTGCAAGGGAAGTAGTTGAAAATTTCTTTCTCAAGGACTTTCCCACTGGTAATTCAGCTATGGCAAAGGTAAGTGAAAACCACTAAGTTGCATGCTTTGTGAGTTGTTGAAAGACTACCAGATCAACACTGTTTGAAAACAGAGCAAACTTTGTATTGAACAACAGACTCTCTTACAGTTTGCTTATGCAGCACTGTAATTACTTCACTCCTAGAGATGGATGTACTGCCTTCATAGTACTTTTTAAGCTTTATTTGAAGAATGAGTTTGACTCTATATACTTAAAGCAGAGTCGATTAAAAATATTGATACTAGTGGCGTAGGACTGGATCTGTGACAATCAATAGATTAGGAAGATACTGAATCTCTTGGATTCCTCATTGTCCCCTTTCTGCTCGCAACACAAAGTAAACAGAGGCAGACTATTGCTGAATGGTTACACCAAGACTACCCATTCGATCCTGTGGGCAATCATCATTTTTTGATTATCCATTTTAATGATAAAAAAGGTCACATTGTATTTCAGTTTCCCATTGGGGAATGGATGCAAAGGGTAATTGGAAGGCATAGGATTACTACCTTGGCCTTGTATTGACACTGTACATAGATGGATTTCACATCTGTTAAATACACGGTTAACAGGCAGGACTATTATCACAGTTTTTTAGTTGTTACTACTTTGGGTCGCGAGGAGGGACAGAGAAAGGTGCGTATTTCTGCCTCTACTGTTACAAAACAGTATTCTGTTATTTGCATGAGTAAGATTGTTTTAAGAATGTGGTAGTATTACCTGTAGCTGGGAGTTAAAACAGGTGAAAACTTGTCAAAACTATTCTGTAATCTGCTGACTGCTTTATCCAAAGTGTGATCCAAAGCAAGGGAAGAGTAACAAAGAAGCAGGGACACTGGACTTCACCTTCTGAACCAGCTCCTGGGCCTCAGTCTGTCTCTTTTGCACTTTTGATTTCTAAGAAACCGGATAGCCACATTGGATATTCAGTTTCAGGGCCTTTGGGTGGAGGGGAACACTTTTTCCATAATGTAGGACAGAAGATGTATCTTTCCACTCCTCTTAACTCCTGTAGGGGCATCAACAATTTGTAGGTCAGTTCTGTCCCAAGCAGAAGGCTTGAGACCGCTTTAAATTGTGCAAGTGACTTGCCCAGTGACATCGTTGCAAAAAAGTATAGAGGGGATGTACTTCTTCCCTGTCAGTCATTTCTGTGTTTCATTTTCTCCATTGTTAAAAAGAAAAGAACGTGTAACCTAATCCATGGAGTGTTCTGGGGAAATAAAAAAATTAACGCAAGCAAAGTGTGTTGATATCTTCAGGTGTAAGGTACTTGAAGAGTGCAACATAACTTTATCTAAAATAGGAAGAGGTCTATTCACATGCACTCTTCAAAGAGAAGAAGAAAATTCATAATATATTGCTGAATGTTTAGAATGCATTTATTATACTGGGATTTCTTAATTACCATGACTCACATCATTTACCATTCAATGAGAATTTGTGTAGAAAGGAAATCAAATGAGAATATCTAATGTCCTCAAAAGCACTAGATTTTTTTTCAAGCCTTCTTTAAAAGAAGGTTTTTCTTTTCTGTAATCCCTTAGGAGTCCTAAGAGCAGTTCAGTAAAGCAGATTTCTCACTAGAGCATAGGAGTACCCTAGAGGGACTTGCAAACCTTCCTCATAGTTTTTGGCTTGCTTCCTTTTTATTAACAGTCAAGTCAAGTATCAGTGAAGCTTGCTTACTGTCTTTTAAGCACCATCCCCCCCAAACTAAAGCCGTAGTTTCACCACCAGTGATATCAAAAGGAGAAGCACCAGCTCATCCAATTGATACACAGCTGAACTGCCATCATTTTCTTAATTTACCTGATATGTTCAAATGGGAATCTGTCAAGGCTTGTAACAAAGTGTTTGGAAGCAAGATGTTTCTCAGTGTGTGAGACAGTGAAGCATAAATGATAGAATGTGCTATATACCAGCAGAAGGAGTTTCAAAAATATGCAATTCAGAATCTCTTGCCCAAAAGCCCATTTCCACATCATAAATAATGTAACTCTGGGAACACTCTGTGCTCTGCAACTTGAAAGTAATGTTAACACAGTACAGCGACAATGTAAGTTCTAGTCAGACTGGCAGCTGAACGGTTACAGGTAAACCTGTGATTAAGCAGTTTTGGTTATTGCAGAGAAGACAGAGCATCCCTCAACTTTTGACCTGTTTCCTAAGCTGGGAACACCCTTCATGGGTACATTTTAAATTAGACACTTCTTTTTATATAACAAGCTTTGCTTTCCAGAATAAATACCCTTGCATTTTGGTTATAGAAGTTATATTAGGCTTTTTGGTTTAAATTATTACATGTACCTTTTGGAAAACATTGCTGATAAGCAAATGGCTAAAATAGCAGAACGGCTTACACAAATACTTCCCTGCCGAGACAATCAAACACATTTAAAACTTTGCTTTGTTGTGTTATTGTCAAGAATTGCCCAATCTGTTTGAAAAAGATTGGGAATACTTAGAAACTCTTGAACAATGAGCTGATAAGAGACCTGTTGTGAAATTCCAGCCCCACTGAAGGAAATAGTAAAATTTAAATTAATTTCGGCAGAAGAAAAATGTTTCTTCTTGTGCTGAAGTGAATCAGAACTTGACTCGCGTCTCAGAATTTAGGTGGATATAGATGTTGCACTTAGTTTTAAATCATGGCTTTAACATTAAGACGACGAGCAACGAACTGTGATTGTTCTTCCTCCAGGCTTTCTATTCCCTGAGACACTGTGAAGAGAAACTCTTCTATTAAATTCACCAGGGCTTGCATCAGGGCTTACGTGCTGAGTGCGTGCAGCTGTATCCTTCTCTTCATGTTTCCCATCAGAATAGTTGGGATGTAATCATAACTGAACTGAATTGAAGATAAGTTGATGCCCAACAGAAAGGCCACCATAGGAAGTAATTTTGCCATCTATTATTAGTTGCTTGAGTAGCCCTGAGTAGTAGCAATATTCAGGAACTATGCATAAGTACAGTAGATATATTGTAACCTTGTAGGAAATGTTTGAGTTTGATAAACTGGTGGCAAAGCTTTTATGCTTTGATGATGGTAAAATTACATCACTTTGTTCACTCTGCCCATTAGTACCTATTTGTGGCTATGGTAAGTCAAAAACATTAATTCTAGGAGTTTTCAAACAAAGTATTTTATGCCTAGTGCAAATTCTTTTTAAAAGAAGCATCATTATAGCTATCTTGAAATAACTCTTGAGTTAATTCTGGATACCAAAGATCAAATTACCCTCTTCATTTACATGCTGCTTTATTCATTTCCCCTTCAGTGACACTTCCAGACAGCATGACCTATATAACAAAGGGCATTTCCTAAATTGTTGACTCAATAGAGATGACAGTTAATTAAGGTTTCCAGTTCTTCTCATGTTCCCGTGTCTTATGTTTCCAGATCACATATGACATCAATATATAAATTGAGCTCATTTCTGGTCAGCTCTCTAGAGAATAGGAATTCAGTTTTTCATTAATAGTATGTGGGTGTCCCCATATTGTTTTCTAAATTGCCTTACCATTGGCATGTTTTATGTATTTTTCTATTACACTGTATCAGAATGGTTCATACAATGCTAAAGCAAATAGAGTAAGCTCTAATTTTAAACAAAGCAATGTAGATTTAGAGTAGCTCTGCTGAAGTAGCTATTATTTACGTTCATATGCATGAAAGCAGAAGTGAATTCTAGCCTATAGATTTTTTTAGTTTGTTAATAAATAATTAGTAATGGACAGAAATTAATGAATGACACTGAAATGATCTGGTAAAATGCTTCTGCATAATGTTGTGATTAGAAAGGAAATGGTAATTAGGTTAAAAATCTTTTTGATGGGCTATGTTTGACTGACATTTTGCATATTTACTTGGCAACGTAGACTATCTTTTCTTAGGTAGAAAATAGCTATCTAAATATATATACATATATAAAAGTAAGATGTACACTCATTCGATGTGTTAAAGCCATCAGTAAGTAGTACAACACTAACAGAAAGGGATTACAAGGCACACCACTCATTTTCAAAAGTAACTTTTAACCTAACCCTCCTTAACTGAAGTCAGACAAGTCTTACTTCATAGTTTCATGGCTTTTTCAGTTCACAAGAAACAAATCATTATGATTATTTCTTCTGACTTCATGTGTAACATGGACCCTAGAGTTTTGCTGAATAATTCTTGCATCATGTCATAATTATGCTTAATTACGCTTAGAGCACAGAAAGACAACCAATTTAACAGCTTCAAATCTTAATTTTATTCTGTTGCCTTTTATAACAATAACCAGACTCTTAAAATCATTTGAATTGCATTAGTCTGAGGAAGAAGAAGAATAAGCTTACCAATCTGAATCATAGTCTATTAAAGATAACAGTTTGTACGGCTAATTTGTTATCCTTGTATGTAATTGCACTTTTTGTTCTTAGAGCTGCTTCACGTGTAAAGAGAAGAGACCTGCTCACAGTCTCTGTACAAGCTGCAATAAGTGGTTGTGCAGCTCATGTACAGAGGAACACGGACATGGCAAGGAAACTGGAGACTGCTTCCTGTCTGTATCCCTGAAGGGCTGCACAGGTACTGAAGATACACTTTGAAATTTTGTTTCTTCTCATATCAGTTACTCGGTTGAAAAAGGAGCAGTTGCAGGCACTGTGCCACAGATGCTATGCTCTGTGTGTGTGACTCAGAAGGATATGTATGTGTCAATGAGAGATGATGTGATTTTTCTGTAACTTTAGGGCCATTGCCACAATTAGCTTTCACAGTATTTGAAAAATTTTGAATATTTGTGTTTCACAGAGACTATCTCTTCCACATGCCTTTTCAGTCTGTGGAGTGATGGGCTAGGGTTTGGTAGGCTACAACAGCAACAGGCCTTGCCCTTTCAGTATTTCTGTCCTCTTTTGGGTAATTTCCTTCAGGAAACTACCGTAAAGCAATTCCTGTGCTTATGGACAAGGGTTGGGGGGAGAGTCCCAGACAGCAAAAGGCTGGGATCACTATAGGATGTTCCTTTTCTAAGCCTGGAGTGAAAAACATGGTTCCTGAGTGTGACCACTATATTGCCATCAGCAAGCACAAATGAAGCCCACTGGCAAATATGTCTCATCCCTATACAATGATGATCCACAGAAAGGATTATCATCTCCTATAACTGCTCATTATTTTCTTTACTTATATGCCAGAAATTTGCTGAGGAGTATGCTAACCTAAACTTACGTAAGCAATTTGTAACCTAAAATAAGTGTTTTGCAATTTTATACAATGATTTAAGCTTACACTTTGCTCACATATGAAGTTATTTATGCTAGAGAGTTTGTGCTGCACTATCATTGCAGCATAAGGAATCATAGAATCATAGAATCATTGAGGTTGGAAAAGACCTCTAAGATCATCGAGTCCAACCATCGACCCAACGCCACCATGCCCACTAAACCATGTCCCTAAGCGCCTCATCTACACGTCTTTTAAATACCTCCAGGGATGGGGACTCTACCACTTCCCTGGGCAGCCTGTTCCAATGTTTCACCACTCTTTCAGTAAAGAAATTTTTCCTCATGTCCAATCTAAGCCTCCCCTGGCACAACTCGAGGCCATTTCCTCTCGTCCTGTCACTAGTTACTTGGGAGAAGAGACCGACACCCACCTCGCTACAACCTCCTTTCAGGTAGTTGTAGAGAGCAATGAGGTCTCCCCTCAGCCTCCTTTTCTCCAGGCTAAACAACCCCAGTTCCCTCAGCCGCTCCTCAGAAGACTTGTTCTCCAGACCCCTCACCAGCCTCGTTGCCCTTCTCTGGACACGCTCCAGCACCTCCATGTCCTTCTTGTAGTGAGGGGCCCAAAACTGAACACAGTATTCGAGGTGCGGCCTCACCAGTGCTGAGTACAGGGGGATGATCACTTCCCTACTCCTGCTGGCCACACTATTTCTGATACAGGCCAGGATGCCATTGGCCTTCTTGGCCGCCTGGGCACGCTGCCGGCTCATGTTCAGCCGGCTGTCGACCAACACCCCCAGGTCCTTTTCCGACAGGCAGCTTTCCAGCCACTCTTCTCCAAGCTTGTAGCTTGGAGATGAGGAAGATGAAAGACAGAACAAGGAATAAACATAGGTGTAGCCCACTGATTATACTTTTTATATGACTATTTTTTTTTGCTGTAGGATTTTGCTTGTAGAAGCCTATACTTTACGCTTGCCATAGATGGAGTTCTTTTAAGTCCTGGATATTCATATCAAAAAGAGTTTGAGGCACTTGAGACATGACATGCTGTTGCCAAATAGAGTGTAAACAAACAAAAAAAAAAGTCTGTAAGAATAGTAATAATAAAAACGCACAGATGACATTTAAATGTTTTCTGTGGGTCTTTTCTAGCAAATAATATAAACTGAAGTCTCCCCCAGCCCCCCCTCAAATGCCCTGATTGGATGGACAGTATGTTTTTCTTCTTGAGTTGATGGCAAGATAAGGACTGTGGTTTTGAGGCTTCAACTGTGTATAATTTCATTTCATTTTGAGTAAGATTAACAGCTCATATTGTTGACAAATAATAGTAAGAAAATATACCTGTGGTGTAGTTGTGGTTTTGTGTGTGCGCTGTATAAATAAAAAGATGCAAACACATAAACTAAAATGCTTTCTCATCTTTTTAGTCCTAAATTCTGTGTGCTGAAAAAAAAATGAACAAGGAGGTTGTTAGTGTATATATAGGCTAGTAAATCTAAAAAATGATTTGGGATGTAATCTGTGCTTTTAAAATTATTATTATTTATGTACATATTATTTATTTAGGACATAGATATCCCCTCAGGATATTTCATAGAAAGCAAATACTAGGATATACTGGAACTCAGGCTGATTATTTTTTTTTTTCTTTTCTGGAAATAAAGCATCCTCTGCTTTCAGATTCAGTAGCCACCTTCAGTCTGTGTATGGTGCTTCTGAGCAACAGCCACCTTCTTTGTAGGCCCTTGTAACCATTAAGAGACTCTGTATCTATTGATCTTGCACCTTTGAACTGTTCTATCTTTTGCCATTTGCTTTACAAAGGCCAGACTTTCTTTTGCCAACTGAAAACTGTAAGATTCCCTGGATCTGAAATGAAATAAAGTAGGAAAAAACCCCCACCAACTGCATTGAGTCCTGCCTATTCCTATTCATTTTGATAAACAGTTTTGTTTATCATATATACAGTTTCCTGCAACTTCCTTGAGTGGCAGAACTAAAGGAGCCTGGCTTCCCTGGGAAACCTTTCTTTCTGCTTCTTCCTTCATGATACCTGTGCTCCATGTAACACATCTGATCACCCCCTGCCACGCAGAACCTGCAGCTCTCTGTCACAGTTCCCCATCCACTTACCCTGCACATCCTCTTGCTTCCTTCCTAGGCCATCGACTGCCTGCTGCGTGAGACCCAGCTCATGCAGCTGAACGGCTGAGCTGGCTGCCAGGCAGCACCCTTAGCCTGGTGACTCCTGAGGTCATGCTGCAGACCAGTGTGCCAAATTCATTTGATTTTTGAGAACTTTACCCTTCATTCAAATTTGTATTTAGAAGTTAAGGGCGCGGGGAGGAGTAGGACTAGGCTGGGACAGAAAAATGCCATATTGTATAAGAAGAAAACAATTTTAAAGTAGCCTGATTTCTTTTTCCTACTGACTCATCCTTTGTGAGTCTGAAGTAAAGGCCCACAAAATGAGTGCTACTGGTAGGGGATTCCCTGCGAGGGCTTCTTGGTATTGGAAATGCTCCACTCTTCTTTGAAACAGCTTTATTTTATTCACCTCCATAGCATTCTGTAACATCTGGTAGCTTGGGTGGCGGGGGTTGTGCTAGTTAGATTTCATTTGAACATGCTTATTGAGAACTGGAATGGGAAGTTATGGGAGTGGTCTGTGTCAGAGTTGTTCAGCTAAAAACTGTTACTGAACTCCTACATTGAAAAACAGACCTTATTTTTTAAGCATAAAACCAGATAAATAGCACACGCTGGACATCACTTTGATTCCACACCCCCCCCCCCCCCAAAAAAACCCCCCCCGGGCAACACCTTTTTTCCCCCCCCCCCCCCCCCCCCCCCAATTTCCCACTAACATATTATGTTGTATGGTTGCTCCAGTGTATTCTTATTACCTGAACCACTTCTAGAGGTACTATCAAAAATTCCAGTTCTCTTGTGAGTGCCAGACTATTACTGCTGGTTATGAATACGAAGAGATGCTGAGATGTGGTTCACAGATGGGTTAAACTGCACTACTTGCAGTTTTTCACAGACACTGATTTTTCCTGACAGTTTTAAAAAAAAAAAAAAAAGGCGGCCCAAAAAAACCCTGAAAACTTTCTGGGTCTGTGACCACAAGATGTGAAAACGTTGAAATCTGCTTCTGGAATGAATTTGCTGAGCACTGGAAAACTAGGTACTGGGAACATGGGCCAAAGCTTTATGACAGATGAAGCAGCAGCCTTGGAGGAATAATCTCTGAAGAACAAATCTTTCACTGGAGGGCTCTGCATTAGCCCTAGGAATAAGTGAACTTTGTTAAGTTCAAAGTTCTGCAGAGCTCTCGAACTGTTTAAAGTCATAAAAACAGTACTGCTTTCTTCCTTAGTCCCAACTTTCTTAAAAGGACATTCAGTATTAGTACAGACTCTTTCCTCATTAAGTGGAAATCTGTGCTTTGGATTGAGTAGAAACAGTCCTTTTGCCAAAACTATGTTAGAAGTAAATGATCTGGTATGGACATACCAACTATTTATAGGCTAGTGCACAAACTGAATAGTTATCTTTTTGCTATACTATCCTTTTCTTTCAGTCTCTCAAGGTTGAGTATGAACCTATAAAATCAAAGTTTGAGTCATTGCTAATTATGCAAGTTGAGGGAGGATTCTATTAGCCAAGATGAGATTGCTTTTCCAAAGTTGACATCAAATGGTCAGAGGAACAGAGATTTAAAACTTTCTGTTAATTATTCAAGAGATCCACCTGAGATAAAGAAAATATAGGCTGTAGAAAATGGTGACTCAAATGATGTTAATTCAGAATTTAGGGCAACTGAACTTTCCCTGTTCTTCAAGTGAGGTTCTTTTCAAGAAGTTAACATGGATAGTTATAGTCAAGATGTCTGCTCCTAGAAAAAACAAGCTTGTGCCCTTGTTTAGCATCTGATTTGTAAGAATTCAACTTATTTTAAAACTGAAGAGTGTAGCTCTGAGCTGAGTATAAAGTAGGTTGAGAATACCATGGCTCAGTGGCAGTTCTCACTGATATGTCAATTGAATCGGGGAATTACTAGTGGCAGAGGCTGTGGGTCTGTGTTGTAATTAGATAACATTGATTTTTATCCTTAGTTTGCGTTTGAAATCTGCTTGTCTTTTAAATCTGACACAGTACTAAAAACCCCACTGATTTCTCTGGGACGATTACAATCACCCAAAGGCTAAAGAACCCTTCAGAGAGAGAAAAATGGAGAAACCATTATATAAGATTGTGACTAGGCTTCATTATACTTGGACCTTAAAGACCACATCTCATTATAAGTTGGAGTTTAATATGGATAATTTGATCCTGAGTTTTCAGAAAAAGAGCTTGCATGCTCTGCAGGTGCTGAACACTTAGAGGGGCTTTTCCAACTCATGAAAATTGAGATAGTTATTATGGGCTTTTATTTTTCTTTTAAGATATAATATCTGACCCCATAGGGAAGAAAAAGATCGTCTTAGACATCCACCTTGGTTATATATTGGTTGTACAACCTGCTTGGTTACATATCATTTGCATTGTCAGCTGCAGGTTTTAATGCAAAAGTACATATTTGCAGTACAATCAGAAAAAATTTGCTGTCGAGGTGAGTTCAGTTTGTACCTTGATAGAAAAAAATATTGGAGCTAGCTAAAAAAACATCTGATCCAATTTCCTCTTTTAATAATGCTATCTATTAGCATTTGATTCAATAATAATATAAAACAATAAACTTTCCTGAAGAATAAAACATGATACTGTAGTAAATAATTCATAACAATGTAAACTATGTAATGCTGTTACATAAAAATATTGGCCTAATCTATCACAAATTATCTTCTTGCACATTATGTTAAGATGGAGGGGAAAGCCAATTGAACTGGAGGAAGTACATCAACCATCTCAGAAATATTTAGAGTAGATAGCAATCTAAAAAGTAGGAACTTGGCATATTTTCTTTAGAGCATGGCATGGATTTTCTCTGTGTTTTCATTCTCTTTGTCAGCCATCAGATTTTCTTAGCCCTTCTACTTCTATATTGTGCATTTTCCAATTTGAAAATAAAGTGACTAAATTAGTATAGCTTGCTGTATGCTGTGTGTCTGTGTTATTGCAATAGTATCACTTCAGAGGCTTGATTCTATAAAGGGCTCCATTTTGCTACAGGAGGAGAGCATGGTCCCTGCCACAAGTTGTTTTTTTTTTAAATGTTTAGATAAGTAAGATAGGTTTGGTATGGGAAAATGGAAACATTTTTCTCATTTTATATGAGCAAATAATGATATATAAATAAGTAATGTTTTTATTTCATTTAAAGTTTGTATCAATAAGTGTTATCTAATGATGATTGCTTTGTTTACTTTCTTGTGTGTTAGTAAAGAATAATGGGATAGTGTCTTTGTAGGAATACTTTGAGGATGCAATCATGTGTTTTTCTTGTTGTCCCCGCTTATGTCCCTATGTGCTAATAATGTTGATGGTTCTGCGGACAGAGGGTTTGAACACTGACCTGTGTAAATCTGTCACTGTACTTTAGCATTGCTTGTACTTATTGACCGTTTTGAGAAAATAATGTTTTTCACCAGTAATAATGATGGGTGGTCCTTACACTGGTTAATAAAATAAGGCTCTGGAGTCTGCATTTTTTGGGATCCAAGAAAAGAGCTTGCCCTTCCCTGCCTTAACTATTAATGTAGATGTACTTGTGAATGTCTAACTTCAGTGGAGGGGGTTTTGTTTTGCCATGGTTTAGTGTGGTTTTTTTGCATTCTTTCATTGACAGTATTCCTTCTTTCTAAAACGATTCTACCGTATCCAGGAAAGAAGACAAGAATAGATTGTACAGGAGCAACGCTTCCACTTTACATATCCACTGTCCATTCTTACTCTTCATGACATTACTCTTTAGAAAATCCTTTTAAGAACAGGTTTTAGTGCCTAATATCAATATCCCCTAGCTGCTGAAGTTTATGATGTACTGCATTTACAACAAACACAAGTTGGAAAAACAATTCCCCATGTGACTTTTTAAGAATGAAGGATTTCCTTGCTTCTGCTGTGACTTCAGGTTTATTTAATATATTAAAAAGGAGAAAAGGAGAAATGGAGGCTCAGGGGAGACCTCATCGCTCTCTACCTGAAAGGAGGTGGTAGCGAGGTGGGGGTCGGTCTCTTCTCCCAAGTAACAAGCGATAGGATGAGAGGAAATGGTCTCAAGTTGTGCCAGGGGAGGCTTAGATTGGACGTGAGGAAAAATTTCTTTACTGAAAGAGTGGTTAAACATTGGAACAGGCTGCCCAGGGAAGTGGTGGAGTCCCCATCCCTGGAGGTATTTAAAAGACGTGTAGATGAGGCGCTTAGGGACACGGTTTAGTGGGCATGGTGGTGTTGGGTTGACGGTTGGACTCAATGATCTTAGAGGTCTCTTCCAACCTTAATGATTCTATGATTTGCTTTTCTACATTTTACAATACAGTTTTGTTGACTGGTTTGCCAGACCAGGGCATTCAAAGTTGTGAGGCAAGTGCCCAAAATCATAAGAGATATTTAAAACTCATGAGAGTTTAGAGGACAATATGAATTTGGTTTGATGACTTGTTTCTGAAGCCCTTTGATGTGCTCAGTTTGTAGGATGTATAAGGCCAGGAAAAAAATATAAACAAACCCTGCTTCATACAATCAGATGGTTCCAGGGCCTGGGTCTCTTAAAAATAACATCAAGACTTCCAAAAAAATTGTGAGAGTCTGGCAGCTCTAATAGTAATCCTTGTCAATGACACCATTGCTTTATATTCCTCAGCAACTGAAGATGAAGCAAGTGAGTTTTCGTTATTTTGTCCAGCGCACACTCGAGAGCCACTCAAGCTGTTTTGTGAGACCTGTGATACCCTTACGTGCCGCAGCTGCCTTCTGACAGAGCATAAGGAACACAGGTACCACACATTGACTGCTTAATCATAATCCTGTCTAAAACTGTAGCTAATTTAGATTTAAGACTGTTCATCTGCATTTCCTGTCCACTGAAGTTGCAGGCTAGTCCAAACTTAAAAGCCACAGCAAACTCAGTTCAGTTGTCTTATGCCCAAGCAGTGTAACACATGGGTTACTGCCCTCACAGAATCACTCACTGCTCTCAGCAGTGTGTACCTTCCCAATTGTATTGTCTGCCCAGATACTATGTATGCATGCGTATAGTTCCTCATGATTGTGCTCAAAGGCACAAGTTGAACTCAATACTTAGCATGGTTAAATACTTCTATTTGTCTTTATCAAAGACATCATAACTGTACAAGACCAGAGTTACCAACGCATAAGCATGCTGCTTGCCTGTGGAAGTGTGTGAGCCATGTAAGGAATTGTCTATACGCAGTGACACTTTTCGTGAGATGAGACTGCCTATATGAGGAGCAATAAAGTTTAGCTGTCACATAGAACACTTGTGGTAGGAACGAAGCAGGGAACCATGTCCAGACAGGTATTAAGGCAGCTGGTCCCCTAAACTTATCAACTGATAAGTTGATTACTTATCAACAGAAAAAAAACATGGTGTGAGAATTTCCCCTTCTTTCACAGTTTCAGACATCTTGATGAAGCTTTGCAAAATCAGAAAGTTATCCTGGAAAATGTCATAACTAAAGTGGAAGAGAAAAAAAATGTGATTCAGGTTTCAGCTAAACAGATTGAAGACAGGTAATTGCTATGCATTTTTTTTTTTTATGAAAGTGGGTGATCAGTAAAAATATTATTTTCACTAAATGTAGGTTAACAGAAGTAAATGCAGATGCTATATTTTTTTTTTCTTGGAGGGTAGGAAATAATAGGAAGTTTAAAAATATCAAATTCATGTTTAAGTGGTACTGACAAGTCATGGCATTGTAATACATGATTCCATAGTTCTTATAAGGCAAGTGACAGCTGACTTCAGAGTTAAGATTTCTTTGTATAATCTGTTTCCGAACTAGAATTTGAAAAGATTAGAAATAAAGACTATTTTAAAAATACCTTATTTCTTAAAGAAACCTCAAAACAAGCTGCAATTCCAGCCAAGACTAGTATAAAAATGAAAATATTTCATTATATGAACTGGATTTGGGCTACTGATTGTGTATTAGCTGTTGGATCTCTCTTCTGCATTAATAAAACCATTTCAAACACCTTGAAAGAGTACAGATCTATTTATACTACTTATACTCTAGTATAAAGTGAATATAAAGTGAAAGTTTTATGGAGATGACTTCTGTGTATGTTTGTTGACAAAGAACTTAAGACTGTTCTTGGCATGATGTTTGAGAGAGTCAATCAGCATTAGCATGTCACATCCAGAGAGTAGTGGTCAATGGCTCAGTGTCCAGATGGAGATCAGTGACAAGTGGTGTCCCTCAGGGGTCCGTATTGGGACCAGTACTGTTTAATATCTTCATCAATGACATAGACAGTGGGAT